AAATTACTCTTCGAATAAATCGAACACACTGCCTTACGAAAATCCCCGGCTACTGATTACGGTTCCTAAATATTTCTTTTTCTTGTTTACGAGTGTTCTACATCAACCTAGCTTCCAGCTGTCGTAACGGGAAGCTCAACCCCCGGGATCCTTACCGTGGTGTAAGAGCCAGCACTTCACATCATGTCGAGGGCACTTCGCATTCACTACACAAATACTTCAAAACGCAAAAGCAAAACCTAATGGGACGCATATTGCATACCTCTTATTAACTTACAGAAATATTCGTTTGTGTGACCCTCACAGTGAACGAGCATCGGTTTTCTGGTGTTAAATCACCACCGTTTGGCATCCTTATGTCGTAGTGTTCAACAAAGACACCATGCAGTGTTTACATTAATCTCTTCTTTTTGTTTTTTGTTTTCTTTGTAGGCCTACTGGTAGTAACACATATCACAAATGAAAACTCAGGTCTTGTTCTACTCTGTGGTTTAATGCGTCGGATCAATAATAAATGTAGATAACAAGGGGTTACTGAAAACAATACTGATGTAATAGAAAGATGAAAAACAAAAGCTAAGTCGAGCAAAAGGGCAAACAAAACGAAAAAACGCCTTTCGCATTTTCGCATATCAGGTTTCGTTTTCCCTTAGAATCTTGTTCACAATAATGCAGAACACGACCAAACCCATTCGCGTCCCTACTGTTTCATTTTAATCCATTTATGGGAAAACAAATCTTAGCCTTAAGATACATTCAGCGGCCTTTTTTTTTCCCATTCCGTGATTGCTCGTATAAAGTCAACAAAAAGCATCAAAAGCCCTGCTTTAATGTGGCCAAATATAGAAAGTGAAAAAGGCCGAGGACTCATCAGGGAAATGTTGGTTAAATGTATCACCCCGAGCTGCTCATTCTGCCGAAATTGTGCTTTCACCGTAATTCGGTTTAATTTTTGCCAAGGAACAATCGGCCCGAAGGGCTAGCTCTTCTAATGCACCGTTAAAATCAGTTTAACATTCATTGTGTGTCCCTCGAGATCCGTTTGCTAGAACGGTTCACTCCGTACAATTCAGTGAATGTCGCTTTCAACATTACCCAGTTTAAGGTTCACTTCTTTTTTTTCGAAATGATTGGCGAAATCGTGTGGCTTTGGTTGCGCTATTATTACCCGTTTGATTAACATTTTGATACAAAATAAGTGTACGATTTGTGACTGCTATTTTAATGGTTAGATTTAGTGCTGAGTAAATGCTCAGTTTGCTCGGCTTGTGTATTCAACCTATTGTTAACTAAGCACTTGAGGAAATTCTTAAACCGATTATTTACATGTATTCGTTATCGCCTTAGCAAGTGTTGATAAAATGGAACAGAGCAGTACACCCAATGAAATCTGACTACTGAATGGTTAGTTTATAGACAAAGTGGATATCTAAAGCTTAGTATTGAGAAGAGAAAGTGGGGGATTGATTGATTTGTTCGTTAAGCGCATGATATGCTATTGACTGCATCGATCATCGATGTACCATGTCACAATCCTGACACACAAGTCCGTCAGGTGAAAAAAGGAACCTGTCATTACATGCCTGTGCTCGTACAACTTATTATCTCGCGTATTTCATGACGTGAAACGTTACCCTCGGCATGCAGAGAAATGTATTCGAAACTCCCCTTTGTAAACATGTGGTCGTCAAGATGAAGTAATGACACCCTCATCACGACAGTACTTCAACACGTTCATACCACTCTTTTATTACCCATTTCATGTTAGACATTCAAGAGTTCTGGAGATTTCATTACTGCTTTCTTTGCTTTAAAAGTACAGGCGTTCGAAGAAGGCTTCAGTTTCACATGATAGGTCATCATTGCTTGCGAACTAAGATTCGAGACCGTCTGCCCGTAGCTGCACTGCAACCCTTTTTTTACACCTCAGCCAGCCGATAGAGTAAATACCGAGGCGCCGTTCAAACAATGATGCGCCGACTCGATCGAAGAGGGCGACGGTACTTTAACGAAGAACAGATTATGGAAACCCGAACTCGATGCCGACGAACCTTGATAAACTTCCCGCCGCAATTACAGATTGGCGTGCTGTTCTTCGAAATCCCCAGCTTCAGACGGCATTCTCGCATCTTTGCTACAGCCGCAATCGTTACAGATCAGCTCTAATTACTTACTTTTTTTTTTTACGCGCATGCGCTCGCACTCCATTCACCCAGCCTCGGCAATGTTAGACTCTCACGCCCAGTCATTATCTCGCTTCCTTAACTCTTTCGCGGCAATTGCAGACATTTGTCATCGCGGCGCTTGGCGGGCCGTGCTCTCCCTTTCGCGGCGGAGGTTCAAGACGGCAAACAAGCCCCGCAATTTGACACACGATACTCGCTCACTGCCAAATGAAATCAGGTCCCATCACACTATTCAATTAAGCACGAGCTCCCACCGGTGTTTCGAGTCGAGGTTAGATTCCGTGTCCAGCGTTTCTCCTTAGACAACGCAAACCACTCGAAATTTCCCAGATGGATTGCATTTCGTACACAGTTGTCTGCCAAGGTTTACCTTCAACGCGAAACTGTAACTCCTTCTCCCCCGATTAATACCTGGCTTTGGCTGCAACAAAATGGCTAGAAACAGATTTTCAAGACACACCCGGGGCCAATTAATATCGATGTTTCAGAAGCCGTGTGTGTTTCAGAAACCCAAATAAATAAGCTAATCAAATTCAGAGCTATAGAAACAGTTACGAATATTGAATCACAAGACGTGACAATCTGAAGGATGGGTTACCTATTTTTGAGCGTGTATCTGAGCAACATTTACCTCAAAAGCAAACTTCTTGACAATTACATTTAGAGAGGAAAATTGTTGAGAGCATTTTCAAGGATGAAAGCGATAAATGATACCTAAAATTTAATTCAAGCAAAGAATTCGCTATCAACAGGTGAATATTCATAGACTTGCTGATTTCACTATTTCGCTTACAATTCCTGCTTGAAAATAACAGGTAAACAATTAAAATAAACAAGATAATTTTGTGTTTTTGTGCCTGAATGGTTCAGCTGATCTTCTGCTTATCATGTTAATTTAAGTAACATATTCTGCCTGGACTTTCCACTTGTGAGTCCAAGCCATGGATGACATTTAACAACCACATAGCTCTTATGCTCATGCAGTGTTACATTTGACCGAGTCAATCCGGGTTAACAGTAAAGGTCGTTCGGGCGTGAGAATGCTCGGTCGCATCTCGTGAACTGGAGTGTTTTGACCAAATTGGCTCATTGAGCCGTGCACCGCGTACGGCTCCATATGCAAACAGTTGTTAATCATCTTGGAGTGGAAAGGCAAACACATTTCTGCATACCGATCTTTCCCAGTGTTGACTTTAAACAGCACGAATAAGTAGGTGACTTAACTGTTTAATTATTTTGCTTTTATTTTTAAGCGAAATTCATTTATGGCGTCGAAGCGTAATTACATTTAAAAGGACGTTTGTCCACTATGCCTATACTATTTGTTAGATCTGATGCTTCGCATTAGAGTCTTCTAACAAAAAAATATATATAGTGTTTTTTTCGTTCAAGCCGTAACTGGTGGGGACATTTTTGATTTTGAAGTATACACAATCAAGTTCTATACCTAAATAAAAACGGCGCTCGTAACACAGAGTGATATCTTAGAAACCGTGCTTATTGTGACTTAATTGAAAACAGGAACATCAAGAAACCAAAGCAATCAAGTTAAGTGGTTTGGACTGGTTCGTGTTGATGCTGCCAAAGATATTTCTATAAATCCTAAAAGCATTTGCCCTCTCCTTAATTCTCTTTTTTTATTAAAGATCTCGTTTTAAATAAATTGAATCATGATTGCGTACCTTGGGGCCAGTGGCTCGGGACAAATTACCGAGGGGGAAAAATCCTGCTCCCTGCGGCCATGAATCGCCGCCCCGATGGCTGCAATGCGTGGGCAACATTTGTTAAGACTTCCACCCAAATCAGCAAAAAACATTTCATGGTTTTCATCTTTATCCGAGCAGAAAATAGAGGGTAACTTACCGAGACGCTATGGGCGAATTGGACCCCACTTTCATCAAGATTAAGTGGGAGTGTTCAATAAAATGTTATAGATTTCGATGTTGCAATAAGCATTTAATCAATTTTTTTTTTCAACACGAAAAAGTGGGGTTTCTTTTTCAGATTCATCATATCGAATCCTATACTTTATGTAATGACCAACTTAGCTTTCTGTTCACATGTTGATTTAATTTAATAACCTTTATTTGTAAAATGCAAGGGGAAATGTGTTCAATTCTATGCTTGTAAGTTCAAAGTACGGCAATATGTATTTGCAACAAATCAAAGTGACAACCTTCACCAGAATGAGATTGTTTTTTTCGCTTGGATAACCATGTACGTGCAAACGGTTTACTGTCCACCTGTCTTGAACCAATCCGCTCGCTCTGCAGCTCACAATCCTCTATAATGTTTTCATGTTCGAGGATGTTTCTCCCCTGTTCGTCCGACCATCAGTTAGCAAGTTTGACTGACGGATTCGGTCATTTCACCGCCGCAACAAATTGGCAAGATGCAAACTTCTCTTGACACGTGTCACGCTTATTCATTCTCACTCGTGATTAATTGTCCCACTCCAAAGTATACGGGACCTTTTTTAAAGGCGCACAACCATAAGATATCTATTTAGGGGAAAAAAAGGTACTTGCACGCATGTGGGCGCTCAAAAATACTTCGATGTCAATTGTCAAATGCCTCAATCTCAACAAAATAAAGAACGCTTTGGAAGATATATTGCAATATGAAATTGAATGTCTCATTAGGTTAATACTAAGCCTTGTGAAAGACTGGAACCTTACATTAAACAACGCGTTCTTGCCTTTCAAAATACCAGTCACCGACAAGCCAAACATTCAGAATTTTTCTGATTTTTTTTTTTCAATTAAATTTGCCTCCTGAACAAGGACCATGTTACAAAATGGACAGACTCTAAACTCTCGCACACGATTTTCTTCAACTAGAATAATATACTTGGTTTATTAACGAAGACAAATAAGAAAATATTCTTTGATTTTCTTTGTAGTCCTACTCCTTGGAAAGCCTCCAGTTTTACTTTATACACATGAATTATTTTTTTATATCGACATCGGCATGACCCCTAGCTTCGCAACCATTATCGACTTTAGTATTTACAACGGCAAGTTAAGTTTATAAGCGCCCTCTGTTGATGACGACACTTAATGACGAAAGCATTTGAAACGGTTTTATTCGAATAGTAAAACACGTCCGAGGTAATTTTTTAAAGTTGAGGATTATAAACTTCGAAAACGAAGAGATGTTTTCATTTGATGGGCTGCTCCAAAATGATCTCATAAAGGTAATATCTCAGTTATAATGTAATTTGTGGTATGGAAAAAAATCATGCACAAAAATACACCTGTTTATGAAATTCTTTGGTGAATGTGAAATCACTTTATTAATTATAAATCTAGAGTGAGTAATTATACAAAGGATGCACTACTCCACATTCTGGACGGAAAACTAGTATTACTTTTTAACTATTTACAAATTTAACAACCTATTTAGGAATCTGCTCACAGATTCGGACTTACGTTCCATGTTTTACTTCCATAGACAACACATTGCTTACAACTTTGGATGCGGTCAGCCTATGCACCCCTGAAACGACCTACAGATCCGTCTTGACTTCCGGCATACCTTGGCAGGAGGTTCCATTGTCGATCTCGTAATTCTTAGACTTACTTCCAGTCGTCGCCGCCTTGTTTTCCGCGTTGTCCTTTGCCCAGGCCGATTTGGAAGTGATGGACACTGCTGTGGGAAAGCAATTGCCGAAAAATGAATGGCAGTTAGTGCGGAGATTTGGTACAAATTTGATTGTACGAAATTGGAACAGAATAGATTCTACACTGCAAAAAGTGTTAATTTAGCACCATTTGGTATCATAGGACAACACGAGTAAAATTTAGCACCAGATGGTCCTATATAGATACCAATGGTGTAAATTTATCACTGCAGTTTTTGCAGTGTAAGTTCGCTTTAAAGTTTGACTGGATGAGTAGATTGGTCTTGAATCGACGAAAAACGAATGAAATCCAAAAAGGAACTGAATATCGAATTTCCTTCTATTAACTGTTCCATCCCTTACAAACAAGTTTATTTGTATTGAACGAGTGCTAGATTTTTACTTACTGCTGGGTTCTCTTCTTTTCAGCCGTATATTGTTCAAATCCTGTAAAACACAAATCTCTCTTCGTTCAGATCAGTCTATGTTTATAAACGATTCAATTGGATCCAACAATGATGTTTGCTCTAACAGTAATGTTTAAGTAGAGATTCAGACATCTATATTAATTGGGGCAAGTGGTATCAAAATGCACTCCCCAAAAAAAAAGAGAAAGGGCAAGTTCCTTTACGGCCTAAATTGATAATTCGGGCGATTCACAATGCAGTGCGCCACCAAGAGTTTGCCACGGAGAGTTCGTTTTTCAAAGTCACGGTCGACAAAACATGGCCCATTTGAACGAGTGTCAGTAGAAAACTTGAGCTAATTTGTTATAGATTGGTGCAAAGCGTTCTGCCGCCTTACAAAAAACTCCATATCGATAAAACGAAAAGAAAAGGGCAAACAGATACTCGAATCATACGCTTACGAACTTTCTGGCCGGAAAAACTAACAATTTCAAATGTCCCGCGCTGCGAATTTGTCGACCATCTCCCACAATGCACTGGGGAAAAAATGAACTCTCCTTGGCAAACTCTTGGTGGCGCACTGCATTGTGAATCACCCGAATCGAAATGAGTAACTGTCGAATGTCAAGGGAAAGTCTTGCAAATTTGAAAAGTGACGGTGAGTCAATATTTGGGACTTTGACATTAACCTTCTCAATGCTTACAACCCGCCTTGACGGGTTTCGAAAACGAATTCCATTTCGTTTGGGCTTTACCTGGCTCGTCAAATGGCGCTCCTTTCTTTCCGTCGACAGCGCATGCGCCTCCTTGCCGGACCCCGGCGTTGAGGGCGCTCGCTTATTCCCTGACCCTGGCGTTGAGGGCGCCCGTGCGGTCATGCTCTGTTCCGTTTGCTTCCGGGTCAGTCTGGAGTGGTTGACCGCCGAGCAGTCGGTAGAAGGCGAGGGGGCAGGGCGGCGACCACGGTACCTCTTGAAGGCTTTACGAACCTACGTCCGGGGAAATAATAAAAACCAAAGGGTTCTTCTATTTTAGCTGAACTGGTTCAGTTTCCTTGCATTGCCTCTATTTGTATCAGTTTTTAACAGAGATGTCTTTCCCTGAAGTATTCATTTAGATATGGACGTTTAACTATCTGTAACTGTTACCGCAAACAGATTACACCATGGGGTCTGAAATTGCATGATTTCGAAGAAAAAGTTTTCTTTCAGTTTTTTTTCTGGCATGAGGATCTGACCTCTTCCGAAGTACTTTTGTCGTGGAAATACATCGTAAAGACTTTTTAAAAACCCACTGATTTGAAGGGTTGAATGGCTGTTCGGAGATGCGCCGCGCTGACAAACTGTAAGGACTGAAACCTGTGCAAATTTTCCCCCATTATCAGGAAATTCGCTGTCGATATGCGATGCGCACCGAGGGCGGAAATAAACAGGAAAAGTGCAGCTCCCTGATGCGTACGGGATGCAGGCCAACGTACTATGGAGCATCCACGAGACACGAGCCCCCTGATGATGTGCTCCAAAGAACAATGCCCCGGCGGCGTGGCACAGGCGCCCACCCCCCTCGCTGACTCGTCTGGAGATCATCAGCTTGTAGTTGCACTTTTACGATCCGCCATTTCGCATGACCACCACCGCACATGTTGAGCATAAAACCCCGCATTTTGAGCATTAATGATATTAACTAATGCGGCTCACACATCGTTTGAATCAATGTTGCTAAATTGAAAGGGATGGCGATGATGCGCAAGTGAGTGTTCCCGGCAGGCCGAAGCTTATCATCATTATGTGGAAAAATTGATACAACTTGGGCCAAGTTCACGGAGGGGCTAAGCACAGAGGAGTTGAAAGCACATGGAGCCAACTTTCTAGAGCTGATAGACAAACGGGCAATTAATTATTTGCTTTTGTAGCCAAAAAAAGGCTACCTGCAGTAATATTATTGGATATAATATCCCTTGTGACTGGATCTCACTCTCAGCTGAGTTGTCTTGCTTAGCACCTCAATCAAATTGGTTTCCTGTCTTTGCGCATTATTTCCCCTCCTTAAAAGTTAAAAGGACCTTGAAGTGCAAGACTAATGACACGGGGAGTATAGCGATCCGGTAAGCCCCGCCCACTGCATGTTAAACGCCATCAGGTGCGTGTGCGCGCACTGTGCCAAATGTTCTTAACACGCGCGCAAGTTGCTGGAAATTTATTCCAAATGGAGTACAGAAGTGAATACGTCACGATTCAGCCCGTGAACCAACACGCGCGCATACTCCATTCGTTTGGTTCTAAATGACGTCACATTTCATCCGGTACTTCATCCGGTTCGTTAGTGAAAACGTCATACACACGTACACGCGCGCAGCACTGATTACTGGCCTCCATTTGGCTACAAACGCTCAAGCTGCGTTAACTTCCGGTTCCAATCATGCAGAAAGTGCTGGAGGTGACGTCACACTAACAAACTGGATACCTGGCAGCCAATGCGCCCTATAAATGCCGATGCACTTGGCAATCTTTAACCATAGACACGTGTTCCTCTCCAATGCCACACTGCATGTTCAAGCTGCGTGCGTCCTACGCGCGTGCACGCATGTCGGACTTTTGTGCACGCATGTCGGACATCTACGCTGTGATTGGTCAAATAATAATGGGGCGGAGCTTAGTGGCTCGGTCTGTCACACATAATGACATAATAATTATGCAAAATCGATAGTATTTATATTTGATTTAAAACAAAAAATTGAGAGTTTACCTCATAATCGCCGACACAGTGCAGAAGGAAAATGAAGACACCCTGATACAGGGGGAAAAAAAGAGGAAATCAACGATTTAACGATTAGATCCGTACGGTGGCCGCTCTCGGTCATCGGTCAAACGCTCCCCACGCGCTCGATGAAGACTAGCGTCAAAACAATGTTGCAGAATAATGGTTATATTGGTTGAATAATAATGTACACAACGTATAATTGTGTCAGTTGCGAAAACTGGGGGGGGGGTGGGCATTGGGCTCGTCCCACAAGCAAAAACGGTTTAAGGTTTCTTGTTAAATCCATTATTTTCCCTCAAGAACATGAGGCCCTGTGGTTGCCCCCCCCCCCCAGTACATAAATAGATAAATAGACCCCATAGTACACCACTGGATACAATAAGGCATAAAACTTTGACGCCTCGACCGTTAGTTTGAGACAAGACTTTACCTGGGATGAGTTAAAGATGACGAAGAGGTAAGTGAAGAAGAGCGTGTCGTCGAAGGCTGAGAACAGACCGAAGACCCAGGTGAATCCCAGGAGGGGTTGAAGCAGAAGAACAGCCCTGATGCCGGCCCTGGGGACGGTGGGATATCAATGTTCCATCATTATTAGCTGTTTGAGTTTCAAAGTGGAAACTCTTTGGATTTCAAAATATTGCAGATTTTCTTTCCAGGAAAGATTAACAAAGAAGATTGTGTTTAAAAAAAGGTACATGAGTGCTTCGAATCCTTGATTTAAAGCGTTTTCCGAGAAATCTTCATGAAAAAAATTTCGTGTAAATATCTCACGGCATAATTTTCTTTTCTTCGTCAAGATTGTCAAATATTACAGAAACTCATTGAAGTTCAACTAGAAATACACGGTGACCTCTTAGGTTTTCTAGAATGTGATTTTTTAAGAACAAGTGTAATGTAACACATTAACATTAAATTCATTCTTAATTCGTTGAACTTTTTTTAAATACCTGATTTTTTCCTTTTCCGTCTTGTCGACATTCGCCTTCAACCCCATGAAGACACGAATCACCATCACCAATATAAGCGTGTTCAGCTGCTCAAGACAAACCGTACAATTTCTTATAAAGGTTACCCAATTTTGTTTAATAAGTTTCACCTAAATTGATCTCCTCTTTTATCTTGCGGCGAAAGCTGTGTGAAAGAAATCATCGGAAGTCCCTAGAGTTTGCTGGATTGCATTTGAATGGCGCAGAGATGTGGTCATTTTCATCACGTAATTCTCGCTTTGCAAGATGCTGCAAGCCGCCCGGAGATATTTTGCACTGCCGCTTTTAAAGTGACCGTGAAAGTGTCACAAATCTGCCGAACTCCGAAGAATCGGTATCGCATTTCAGGAATTAAAGCGACATTTGATCACATCGACTGTAAGTGCCATGTCGTCCGGCCTTTTCAAAGCAGTGTTCGATTCACTTCGACATAATATCGCCATGGAAGCCCGTATCATGTGCTCTTAGATTCCCTTCCGCGTATAAAGCCAATAAGTAAATTGAGCATTATACGATCGATGAAACATGGCCTTTTGGCACCGACTTTTCACCATCTTTGTTTTCTTCTCCTTTGCAAGTTTTTGAATTCCTTGAAAAAAAAACGACACAAGACGATCTCTATGCCTGCAGCTGAGCGCGGGATATCAATCAGTCAATCCCGTACAGAGCGGGGCGCCCCAAGCTATGCTGGAGGCGCTAGGCGGAGACTGTAGAGTCAAACCAAAGGGGCCCAATGTCCGTGAGTGAACCCGATTTTGATTCGGTTGGTCTTTGAACGCTTCATTGCACAAAACAGGGGTTTTCCATGCAAAACGAGTATAACGGCAAACGCTCGCATCCACCAAGTTCTAGTTCTACTTCTCCGATCACAGAGTTGGATAACCGTGAGTCGAGGTGCTTTCGACAAGCTAAGGACAACATTCACCCCATAAATAATTCTCGAGAAGGGGCACGGGATTCATGAAAATCAACAGAAATTCACCCAGTTGATCTTTGGGCCGTGTAGTGAGAGTCCTCTCATGGGGACCTGGGGCACTTTATAAGTTAACGATGTTGATACAGGTGTGCAGGAAAGAGGAAAAAAGTGTGATTCGTATGGATTTTGCCTCCAGCATGAATACTGTTCGTTATCAAAAGTGGCATAATAAGCCATTTGTTATGGGGCATTTGAATAACGTCTGGCTCCCTGAAGATTGTATACACTTGCACACGGAAACTTGAATTTTCAGAAATCAGACAAACAGGCAAGCTTGCAAAGGCAAGCATTCCCTAGGTCTGGAATGACCTTTAATTCGCATTCGGCTTAAGGTTTGATAAGGCAGAAGGCGAATCTTGAATAAGTGTGAATCATAAAACAGTCGTCGCCACACCAGGATAAACATGTACATGCAATGGCCGTTGAGCACTTACCACCACGACAACCACCACTGGAGTTACGAACGCGTAGATGAGGCCACTGTCGAGGGACAGCCAGCAGCTGTGTGTAACACAACGCCAAAATAATTTGACAAAATCGCGGCAAACAAGATATACCGCGCACGGTGTCAGGTGATGCGCCCCCCATGCCCAAGGTTAAAATTACCAAGCTGGCCAAAACAGGATATGTTTTTCACGGCTTACTGTCGTAAAAAACTGTGTTAGTAATTGACCATGTTCTCCGTGACCCATTTTCGGAAGTGTTTGACACATTTTCTCAGTATAGATTGCCTGATAAAATTCGATCTAGCATCTTCTGTCTTACTTTGTCACCAATTTCGAGGCATCCAGGTATAGGTGTGATGGCTTTCAGCGTCTGATTACCAACATAGTGTGTGTTAACGCTGATGTAGAGGATTTGTAGAGGCTTTGTCACATTATATCGCTCTAGATAATGAACTGGCTTATAATCTCGTCATATAAGGTTTCTGTCAAAAACGTCTGTCTGTATCAAATTAAAACACGAAATACAGTTATATTCAAGACAAGAAATTAAATGAGCCATTTGTTCTGAAATATTTGATCCAGACTAAAACGCCTTTGCAAATAAAATTATGCATAATTTTCATGACGAAATTTATTTTATTTTCCCATTTTGCAGTAAATGTTTCGAAAATGCGTCATTAATGAATATTATTATCATTACGATTATTATAATTATTCAAGTTGGGGTTCTTTGGGGGGGATTGTGGTTACGTCATGTTTCATTTCCTTACCGGGTCTCAGTGCCATAGCCATCAAACCTTGCAGCCAGGGCAACGCCGACTATCAACAGGGGAGACCCTGCACACAAGAACAAAAATGACGATTCTGAGATGGTCATTCAAAGTAATACGCAGCGTTTATGTCCCTAGAATAAGTATTGGCTTGAAAGTCCAGCTTGATGTATTTTACATTTTCGACAAATGCAATTGTGAAAGCAGTAGCCAGAATGCAGCTCTGGTGAAGTTCCTATGACTTGTTACAGGCTGGTCACCATAACTTTGCTATAGTGCCAAACTTGTTTCAGAAATCAATATAGTAGGATTTTTCAAATGGAGTTTGGTGAGGTGTTGAGGTCCTGTGTATTTAAGGGAATGGCTGAGATGCTGCAGTCAATACGATATGCAATAATACGTTATTCAGGGAAAGGAAATTACTGGATAAATAACCACTAACTCCTCCGTAGCGGTCAGACTGTCCCCTTATTCACAGCCGCTCGTGATATCAACACTATACACCGAGAAAGTCGATGACACGAGAATGACCGATGATATTCGGCATCCTCTTTCATCTACTTAGGCAACCCTTCTGTATTATTGCCTCTCCGATCCTATCAGAGTAGACAACATCCGCGGTTTTCGAGGATCCGACATCCGTTCTAAGGGATTCCTTACAGATCTCGCCCTCGACTGAACCCCTGCAATGGTATCCGAACAAATCAACAACTTAAAAGCCGCCAGCCGGCCTGTTGTTATCGCTTTACGGTCGATGGGCCGGGAACCGACAGAGCGTAGGCCTATAATGCGCCGACCACGGTAGGTGACCCAACAACCACACGGGAAAGGTTTTTCACCCGCGAAGAGATGCAAGCTCTTCGTCCCATAGCAGACACTGTTAATAATGCTTTGATTAGCTGGCGATAGGTTTTCCTTTCGCTCCTGCTGCGCATGCTCAGTATGACGCAAGGAGCTGACGCAAAATTTTAATGGACTAAGCGGATGTACGAAACGACGTCTGGATACCATACACAATAATATGCCGTGAGTGGCGCATCGGGGGGGGGGGGGCAAAATTACATGTACACCAATGTTGCTGTTACACTTAACCCTAGGCAATGTTTAGATACCATAGTAAACAATAGTTTTCCATAAACATCTAACCCATCTAACCGGAAACGAAAATTATGTCTGCTGCCACCAAGTGTCCAAGATGTATCTAGGCTTTTTCAGTTCCGGACTGGTGCCAATTTTGCCAAATGTAATTTTCTGTTTGAGCGCCCTTTATTGGGATCGCAAAATTGACCTTGGTGCAGGAAACTTGACCGATACAAGAGCGCCCCTTAAATATTAATTTAGTAATCTAAATATTACGGCCTGTGACAGCTGGTAATTGCGTGCTGTGTTTGTTCACTGTCAAAAAGCAATTGCTGTGACTAACGAACCATGTAAACCAATGTTAAGTGGAAAGGCTTTTTAGATCACAAGTATTTCGTCACTCAGAATGGTGATGACATTAATCATTGCTTCTTTCTTCAGCCGTGCATCATCCGACAAGGGTACCAAGCTATTCTGATTCTCGACAATGTGACTTACCCCATCCTATGGCCATGTGCATCCACGTCTTCAGGCCCTTACCGAAGACCGCCACAGACTTCATGTAGAGGTGAACGCCCTCCATGAACATCCACGCGAAGGAGGTTGTGAAGAGGTAGTGTAGCAGGACTGCAATAGCCTTACACCATCCCTATAAACAAAGTGTGTAGTGTTGCAGATAATTATGGTACATGGCTATACCAACGCCAGCCCACTTTTCAGTTAAAATCATGTAAGAGGACATTCCCCCCTCTTTTTTCTAAGGGAAATGCTCACATAGTATTATGCTTTCCTCCGCCTTTGCCCAAGTTAAGCTATATTTTTTAACCACACGCTGATTCCGTGTGATTTCTAGGACTATTATTCCGGCTTTCCCCATAATACTGAATATGAATTCATCATTTGTGATGTGATCAAGCTATTAAAATGAGTCGTTTGTTGGGAATTTTTATTTGGAGATACAGGCCAAAATAGGGCCACTTCATCACATCACTTCATCACATCTCTTGGTGTTCCGACTTCCATAATTTTTGAACTAAAGATGGTACCAGCATGCAGTTTTCACAGCAGTAATGCTGAGATTGTGCTCGTTTCAAATCTGTAATAAAAAAAAAATGAATAGGGTCGACAAATGACTCATGTAGCTTGATCGCATCACATTTTCTCTTCCTCTCTAAAGGTTTCTTCAGCTTTCCGTGCTATCACTTTTACTGCGTCTGTCTTGTTCAAAATGTCATAGAGAGACGACGACTGACCTGATTAGACGTGGCATCTATCCCTGTCAGGTACAGCAGCTGAGCAGCGGCTAGCGAGACCGCCAGGTTCACGTGGATGATGACACGCTGGGACTTCAACAACCTGAAATCAAATTCGAAACCGTCCGTCTTGAAGCTTTCAAAATACGTTCTTGGTGAAAACATAGCCTCTAGACACTTGGAAAATATAAGCCAAGAAGATTCGTATAAAGCTGTAGTGTTGTGCTAGACATTTATTTCCGGAGTTTTAACACTGTTTTTAATACTGGGTGTTTCATTCAATCGTTTATCGGCTGTCAAGTGATGTATTTTATTTCAATACATGAACAAAGTGTGGCTGTTGTACACTGGATAGGAAACAATAGAAATCGGGTAGTTTGGTCTGACACTTTATACAGACTAAAGACATTTGAAATACAGCCGTATTCGGTGCTGTATACAGCTCTGAACGCGAGTTTTCAGGGGTATCAATAATATTACACGACGTCAAGAACCATGAATGCGTTCGTATTGGTGATTCTTAAATTTAACACAGGGGCGGCGGAACATGGGGGCTTGGCTGGCTCTTGCCCCCCCCCCCAGATTTACCCAAGAGCCCCTTTTGCGGGCATAAAAGTGCCCCCTCGAGCATAAATGTGCCCCCTCGAGATGAAAACAAAACTGACCCTAAAATTTTGGATAATTTGTTTTTAGTTAACCATTTCTCAAAATGGCATAGAGAGTTCTGATATGAACGATGAATATGAAAACCAAGCCCCAAAACCCTTACAATGCGCCCTCAAATGGGCACATAATGCGTAGTTTGCACAATGGCCGGGTTTGAAGAGCGCCCCCTCTATTTTTGAAGATGTTACACCCCCCCCCCCCCCCCCCCCCCCCCCCCCCACCCCACCCCACCCCACCCCACCCCACCCCCACTATTTGATTTTACGGAGGCAAAGTGTCCGGTGAAAAAAAGTGTCGACATTTCAGCACGGATGTGCAAGTGCCACTTTTTGGTGATGCCCCCCCCCCCCAGTTTGAAAGCCGTTCATTCCGCCGAGGCTGATTTAACATGTTGGAAGGACATTGAAGCCAACGTGCAAGTGAAATTCTTTGTTATCGAACAAATTGCTATCACACATGGAATGACGAATTAATCACTGCAAATCACATCCGACTGTCAGTTCTGATCATGTAAGCAGTGACTGGGGAAGTCAGATCGTGTTTAATTAAGGAAAAAGGATAAATAATGACTCAGGATCGTGACTAGGCTGAAAGCAATTAAACCCATTATGTGTGAGCCTCTCAGGCGCCCACCTCGTTACGTGCGCTTTCAGATGTAACGAAGTCGTAATCACGGGTGATGTCTTTTCAATTTCGTTATATGAAATTCGACACACAGTGTTTGCACAGTTGAAGGATTATTTTAAGAACAAACTTGTAAGACGAGCAATATCAAGGAAGTCGACAGGTTTATTATTAACACGAAGAGTTGACCGATAAGGCTAACCTCAGAAAGCAGAACAGTCCGATGGAGAGCAGCAATGAAGTTATGGACAAGATGGTTCCAATGTACGTCAAGACTTCAAGCGCTGTCGAGTGCGCCGCTGGTATTACCTACACAAAATAAAAAAGGAGCCTACAATCCTGGCCAAATCTCGCTGGGCCCCCAACCCCCCGGCCCCCGTTCAATGTTGTCTCTCATTGCGCGGTGTGTGCTCCATCAGCTGGAGAGAACAACATTGACCGGGGGAGCGGGGGAGTGGGTGACAGTGGCAGGTTCAGGGTTCCAACCATTTTGGCCGGGATTGTGGTATTGATTGAACTCGGCGTACCTTTAAAGTATACATGGCTGAATACAGTTTCAAGGTTGGAGGAATGGAAGTTTGTCGTTGAAATTCGTTGAATTTCCTAAATACCTCTGCCAAGGAAGTTATATTTTCTTCGGCGTTGGTTAGTTTGTTAGTTGGTTGGTTGGTTTGTCTGTTTTTATAACAAGATAACTCAAAAAGTTGTGGACGGATGTGCATGGAAAAAAAAGGGGTGTTCCTTGGTACAAGTGCAATTCGATTACATTTTCGAAGTGATCCGGATGTGGGTCAGGATCCAATCATTTTTTTAAAGGATTCTTCACCATTTATGCGAGCATTTCTTTTGGGTGTACTGCCAATATAGCGGGGAATTGTTAAGCCTTGGCGGAGGTTACGCTCTCTGAGTGCTTACTAGTTAAAAACCTGTTTTACCCCAAGCAAGCCGTATACTCGTTAACTTCTTTTTTAGCTGGGTGAATGTCATTATTTAGCAAAAAAAAATGTATGCTTGAAAATTTTAACTTGAACTTATTTTGTACAAACAAGTAGATAATGTGCCGCTGTGAAATGTTGTTTGCATGTGGTTCCTACCGTTTCCTTAAGCTGAAGCAGGACGGCGAAGTTAGTCAGATGACTGCAGTGACACGTGGTGGCGTTGGATGAAGATTCGTTGACAACGCAGCCATCCGTCGACCACAAACCGCCCTCGGAACTTTTGTAGAAAAAAAATGGAAAATTGAAGGTCGTTAATATTTGAGCCATTGTACTTCTTTTTGTTAAACACATCTGTCCCACTTTTTTTTTCCAAAACATACTTTCCATCCAAGTAATACACCTACTTTTTAAAAATTAATTTACCTGTTTTGGAACTTCCAAAAGCAGCATTTTGCCTCCTGGTCCGATGTTTTGCTCTGTAAGACAACAAGGATTTCGATGTCATAATTTTCGAGCCAATTAAATTCTAGCTATTACTTGATTCATATTTAATGAACGGTGCCACTCGGTATAGGTGTAATATATATTTTTTCATTGCTAATTGTAAACAAACAAAATAAACAGCAACATTTTCTGCATACCTGTTCAAGCTGGAAGGACAAAACCACGGGATTGTCCTCGCTAAATGGAAGTGGCGAACCATCCTCTTGGGTCACGGTAAGTGATACGACCTCTGACCCCAAGGTCGCATTTCCGGATGAACTCTGACCTTCGACCTCGGTCGTGATCGCGTTGTGAAGGGTTTTGAAGACGACTGCTGTAGCTTTGACTAAATAACGTGATAGCAATTGGTTTGACGTCAGAAGACTATTGGCAATTAAATATTAACCGAACACTTATTTGTGTTTTTTTCCCAGTTTTGAAACCTAAAATAAGACGTCCTTGTAAAATGTTGAATCAACTGGTAGGGCGTGTGATTTACAAAATTAAAACCAGGTCTCTAGGCAGCATTAGACCATTTGTGGTTTGTTTTTCGATCGCCTAAAAAATATGCATCACCAGTCATTCCTCAGGCTTCTGTTATGTTAAGTATAAGCATATTAATCCACCATGACAAAAGACTGGTCATTTAAGTACTTTCTTTTCCCTGGAAAGAAGACGCAGGTAGGGAGAAGACGTTCTTGCTAGATTCAGGGGTAAGCTCCACCTTGTTCCCTTTGATTTTTCCGCTAAAGTCTGACCAGCACTGTAGAACTGAGGATCAAATCAAAAAGAATTACTCGAAATAAAAACAAACCACTGTCTCCATGGAGAGTTTCCGATGTCGAAACGTTATCAAAGTTAGCATATTTGTAATACATGTACAGCGTATTGTGTTTTATTCAATTTACTTTATTCACACGACGACCATTTTAAATTGAAAGCGAGGTAAAGTCTTCATTATTGGAATTTAGGAGTAAAAACGAAAGCAATGTAATAAAAGTTCATTAAAAATGTAATACCAGTCTGCTCTGATGAATCATTAAAAATGCCTGATTGATCATAGTACCCTAAAGTTTCAAGCCACATCAATTATTTTTACATGAAAGTGAGGCTTGGAACAAGTTTACAATTTATAAAATAGATTCAGGGAACACGATCGAAAATGGCTTCGTCGTGAATAAGGTCTGTTAGGTTAATTATTGCACAGTGTCATAATTATGCAAATCATTATGCATATTTACATTACTTTCAGGTTTTCCCTTACCTAGATTGTCGTTAGCAATGAGGACTTCCGTCGTATTCTCATCCAGTAGGTTTTCAGTGACGGAAGCCGCAAAGTTGTCGACCGCGCTAAGCAGGTTACTGATAACCGAGGTGGAGGCCGATGTGGAAGAATTGGTAGCCTGGAAAATAACAAAATGTAAGTTATTAATACATCGGCCACGCGTCTAATCACTGGCTTCAGAAGACCAAGAGGTAACCCGAAAGTCGGCCAACAAACCACCTCGGACAGTAACACACGGGGGCGCTCTTCAATGTAGACGGCCCGAGGCTGAATACCATTGACACTAGGTGGCAGTATTCACGGTTGACCTAGGCGACAGTGACATGTTTTGCCTCCCAAAACTAAACCAGTGTAGTCTGTGTATACCCAACCTCGTTCCCCATGGGTACGATCTTGCTTAGCTGTGTTGGTTCCCATAATGCCTTGCGCGTTAGTATGAAGGAACGCGCATGCGCCCACGGAGGCGAGGCTGGTACATACACTGCTTCTGATCAGTTGAGGGTCATAAAAAACTGAAGTACATTGGCGCATGGCGTAAAACAGTTCTACCTTCAGACATTTACAGACTGTGACGTCTGACTTACCGTGCCGGAAGATGAGAGTGCGTCTGTATAATTTGCACTGAGAAGATCTCCACACACATTGAGGAACTCCTATGATATCAAAATAAAGTAAGGTTTTAGAAATAAACAATGCAGTTGACTTTAACAAATTCGCATCGAGAAACTGCACATTGATATAATGTATAAAGTGATTCCTTCTTCTATATATTGCAACAACTCAACAACGTTTTAAGGTATGTTTGATAGACAAAGCTTCAGTGTGTGTGATGAATGAGTTACCAGTGAACATTGGGATGAGTTATTAGTTTTTACCTTGGCAGAGTCTTTGTCCTTCCCAGCTGCTTCGGAGACCGCGCCTAGTGTCTTGGTCACTACCGCAACCTCTCTGTCGGTTAGGTGGGTAGATTTGGCGGAGGATACGGCGTCTAGAGCCAGTTTGGCCGTCTGAGGTGTTAGAGCGCCTTCCAGCGATTCGATCGCGGTGTAAACATCTTCAACCTTGAAAGAAAGAAATCTGTGTAGTTAAATTGTAATCTCGTTTGACTCAGATTTGAGTTATGTCTGTTGCACAGTTTGGTGTACATATAACACTGTCACGTTGTATAGAAAGACATTTGCCCTTTGTAGTTTGTTATTTTAAAACCCTGGTGTACATTATCGTAAATTTGATAGGCATTCGGATATTCAGTACCTTAGTAGGTACGCTTTCACGCATTGGCATGTCACTTACACGTGTGGCCATTTGAATTCGTTCCTGGGCCTCTTTCTCTGAAACAGCGGTCCCATTGGTGGAGTGCGGATGCGACCCGGTTGACTTTTTACAGTGGTAGTATTCACATCACTTGTGGTGTAGGGTGACGGGAGGCCCACCTGGTGACTGTTTGCCATTAGAGGTCGTGGATTGTGATCAACAGGCGGAGTTGACGTTTCTAGACCCGGTGTCAGGGATGTCACTTCAGTTGAAACTGATGTTTGAGGGTCAAGAGTTGTGGTTTCCGTGCTCGGTGTCTCTGAGTTTGGTTCAGTGGGTATTGATGTCCAAGGTTTGAAGGCTGTTGTTTCTGGACTCATTGCCTCAGAGTTGGTTTCGGGAGGAGGCATCGATTTCTGAGCTTCCAATGTTGCAGAATCTGCTTTAGTTAGCTTTGGCGTTGCCTCCGTGGTCACTGATTGCTTAGGTTTGGAGGTTTGGGTCTTCGGATTTGTTGCCATTTCCACTGCATCATGAATCATCGGTGTTTGAGGTTCATAAGGTGTGGGGTCTAGACTCGTTGTTCCTAAGGTCACACTGAGGTTTCTTGATGTCTGAGGTTCGACGGTGGCGGTTTGCGTAGTTTGCACCTCAGGAGTTGTGCTTTTAAAAGTCTGAGCCTCTGAGGTTATGTCCGTTCCCTGGATCACAGTATCTGACGAGGTAGGTGGAAACGAGTAAGCAGCGTCAGTTACTGTACCAGGGTAGTCGTCTCCTGTTCCCGAACCTAACAATCCGGTGCCCGTTGTTGCTGGGATGGCCACGGTGCTTCTTTCATCCGTGCTAGATTCTTGTGGTGTAGACTCAGCATCAACGGTTGACGAGGGAGTATCGTCTGTTGTTCCGTATCCCGATGGCGTCATTGCTTCGCTGGTAAATTCACCCTCCGTGGCATTGTCTTCTACAGGATCGGTAGTCGGCAAGCCTTAATAATTGACAGGAAAATACATACTTCTTTTGTAGTTGAAGAAATATATCTAATCAGTTTTTATGACAAAATTGGAATCATGCAGTTTTAAGGGAAAACTCGGACAAGTGGCAATGTTTTTCACGGTTAACTTTTTCATTCATGCTTAAAACCAAAAAGGTGATCAGAAACAAAAGAACAGTATATTTTAGGTACGAATGGCGTAATGGACTAAAAAGAGTACAACATTCAACAAGAAAAAAAGTATTGCGTGAGGACACCGTGCTTTATAAAGTGAAGTACGAAAACTGTGCCAATCACAAAAAGAATTGTTCCACAACGGAACAACGACATCGACGGTTGAACATAAAATAGACGAATTAAACCATTTAATTGACCATGATTTACGGTACAGGTTATTTCAAATTACAGACAAAACATGTGATTAAACATTCTGGATTCGTGATGTTGTTCTCATGCAGTGCAGGACACAACTGATTGCACAGTAGTGCTTTTGAAAAATGACATGCAGGATGTTCCTTTACCAAGATGGCGGAATGAGTGGTCACACGAATGGTCAGATAGTCATGAGAAAAAAATGTAAAATGTGTTTTAACTTTGCTATGTTATTATGTAATGGCGGTAAAACAAGAGAATAATTGTTAGAGTTATCAACAGAAGCAATCCATGACATTTGATATATGATATGGTAAGAATACTAAACTACAAAATGGTTAAGTATCGCAAAGCTGATACAAGTTCAGTTATCGTTATCCTGTTAAGTGAAATCATAATCAGTTTAAACCTCGTGTAATGAATTTTCATCACAAGTTTAACTTATATATTCTATTAAATTGAAAAAAATTGCAAAAATACAGTCTTACGCTTGTAGCCTATCAACTCAATCCGTAAACAGGGCTCATTGTGCCACGTGACTGGGTAGATGCGCACAAGTTGTACGTTGATTGGCTCGTCGAATACAACGTGGATCGGTGTATCACTGTCGTATGATCCCACAAAAATCTAGAACACGAATATAGTTTTGGGACAATAATATTACTTTGGAATCAAAATGACACTGAAGATAGCTGCTATCAGTTGCCGACCGAATCAATACCCTTTTTTTGCACACTCGGTTGATACAATGTACTCTTAAATAGAATATTAACAAACGTGAAACAGTCGTCCCTTTTTTTTGCACCCAGCTGACCATAAGTGCTTCACGCAAATTTACAAGTTACATTCGATTGCTGTTTTGTGTATATGGGTCGAACATGTTATCAGTAAATTGTTTAGACGTTTTTAATAAAAAGTTGGAGGGGAAAGAGTACGTACTTTCTCATTGCCATCAGCATCGGTTATGTATTTCCATCCTTCCTCACTCGTCCAATACGACACCGAGAAAGTCTCAACCCATTCGTCAACGGATGCTCGTCCCTGTATGACTATCCCGTAAATATACGCGTCTGCCACGAAATCAACCTATAGGTGAGAGGAAAATGAAGAGCCAATTTTACCACGGTGGTTGTGTGACTGAAGACGCAAGTGGATTATTTCAACAGTCAAATTTCTTATTAAGAAAATGACCGAAGAATGTAAGGGTTTGAAACCTTGAAGAAAATTATAATAAGGAATGCCGTCCTCAAGTTTGATTTACAAGTACCTGAATCCAACTGTCTTGGTCGTTACTCATGGGGCACCATGCACCCGCCCCCTCCTCGGTGTTCAGCCGGGCGTTGTCCGCTTGAAAACTCCCGTTGGCAATCGGTGGCCTCTCGCTAGACACGTTTAGCTGCTCGCTTGATATGCGCCACCAGTGCTGCGTACTGCCCATACCCAATGCGAGATGTTCAGGCTCACTAGCTCCTGCGACATAAATGCATATTTAAAAAAAAATCCACGTCCGTCCTGTTTCGTGGATTTAGCGTATACTTTTGGCATTTAATCTCCAACTTACCTTTGAAAAGGTTCAAGTCATCAATGGCTATAATGGCCACGCTGTCGTCTTTGGCGATGGTGGCTTCGATAATAACCTATAGATAACAAAAAAACCTCATTAATGTTGAGGATTTGTTTCTTACCGATATGTTCAACTGTACTGTATTGATCATTAATTTTATGAAGATTGAACGCCAACCTTTACCTGGTCCCCTTCTCGAAGTTGAAACTCCGTGTATCCATCCTGAACTTCGCTGTTTGGGCCCTGGGCCGGTTGTTGCCAAATTTTCGTCTCCGAGGTAACCGCATATTCATCGGTTTTCGAGATGAAGACGGTGAGTTTGGTATCAGCTTTTGAACCCCGGACCAAAAATCGGAAGCGGGCTACATATGAAGCTGTTGGTCCGGTGCTTGCTGCAGCCAACAGACGAGAGACAAGGGCCCTTGGGAGCCTCCATAGGCACAGACTGTGTACAGTTCGGTGGTTGAGCTCGGTGACAGGGATGTTGTGGATCTAGGTGTTGTGGATGTCGGTGTTGTGGATGTCGGTGCTGTGGATGTGGGTGTTGTAGATGTCGATGTTGTGGATGTCATTGTTGTGGATATCGGTGTTGTGGATGTCGATGTTGCGGATGTCGGTGTTGTGGATGTCGGTGTTGTGGATTCGGTGTTGTGGATGTGGATGCGGCGTTGGGGATGTCATTATTGTGGATATCGGTGTTGTGGATGTCGATGTTGCGGATGTCGGTGTTGTGAATGCCGGTGTTGTGGATGTGGATATCGGCGTTGGGGATGTCATGTTGTGGATATCGGTGTTGTGGATGTCGGTGTTGTGGATGTTGATGTTGCGGATGTCTGTTTTGCTGTAGATGTTGCTGGCATTGTTACGTTCGATCCAGTATTTGGGAATGCTGTGGATGACAGAGGTTGTGTGGATTGTGACGTTGTGGACCGTGGTGTAGTAGACAGAAGCGTCGAGGAACGCAATGTTGTGGATTGGGTCGGCATCTGAGTCGTAATGCTGTTATTGGGCCCGTTTGATGTCGACAGGTGTCCGTCGATACAATCTGACGCTGCATTCATCCAATCGTAGAAGATAAAACTGCCTAGATATGCAAAATTATGTAAATCGTTATGCTCTGGGTAATACAATCGGTCACATAAAACATCCATCATCATAAGTCAAGGCAATCAAAATGATAATGTTTGCTTACTGTCGAAAGCGCGAGTGACATTGTCCTCGGCGAAGTCTCCGTATCTATGCCACGCCCATGTCCCGTTGCTTACCGAACGATCTTGCCAAAAGGGTACCGTGTCCTCAAAGTCGGCAGAGAAGGAATTGACTGGAAGTAAAGGAAAGTTTCAGCTGATAATAAGCTTTTAAAAAGTAGAATTGAATCAAAGAATGGCTCCATTTTGAGACGCACCTGTCATCCTTTGAACTCTTTTGTGTGTGGTTAAAGAGCTTTTACAGGGCCTCACTTAAAAAATGCAGTTTGGCTAACTCATGCAGGAAAGCCAACGATTATTAGGTTGAAAAAAATGCTGAACTTTTGGGCCTGGTAGGTATAGATTTTTCTCTCGATTATGCCGGAAAGTTTCAACACCAATCAAAGACTTTAGTCTTTTTAAAGTCGCCTGCGCATGCACAGCGGTCATTCTGATTTCACCAATTAAAATGGGTGTCCCTCGAACATCTCGAAATCCACTTACGAGTTTGCTGCCACCTAGAGGCGAGCTGAGTCCCATTGCAAACTTACCTATGTGCATCGTTCCCAGAATATCAACTCGCAGGCATAGGTCGTTGACCCACTGGAAGTTGTTCAACCGGACGAAACGGACGTATCTTGGTTTCTTCTCAAGTTAACTCTGGAAGTATTCCAGTCTTTGTGCACTGATTCCATAAGTCTGAAATGACATTTTACAAATCAAAGCACAAGTCGGAGCACCGGAAGTTTTTGTACACGTTGAATTTGTTCTAGATTTTAGGCTATTAGGCCAAAAAAAAAAGTCTCCGGTTTCTGGTATGCGCGCGCGTCGCCGTAGCCATGCGCGTCGGCAAAATAAAAAAGGTTTTTTTTCAATGAAAGATGATGTCTCAAACCGCCAAACTCACTGGTTTGACTGGAATCCTACTGCTGCACAATTTTAACGTGTTCTTAGATTGGGTTATGGTCGAGAATAAGCTTTATGTGGCCTCTCTGGACTCCCATATATTTGCACTAAGTTTAATCGAGCACCATTTGCAGACATCAGCCGACATTTGAAGCAAAAAAAAATCAGGTAAAAAAAAAAAAAAAAAGCCGCGTCGCCGCACCACTTTTTGGGCAAGCTCCATACCAGAAACCGGAGACTTTTTTGGCCTTATGTGTGAAATGTTGTGAAATGATGCTTTTAATTCTCCATTTGGCATTTTTCATAAAAAACTATCAAGCTGTACAGAACAAACATCAATGACAAAGTTGGAAAAGAAATCCAATCATTGGAGGGTTAATAGAGCGCAGGTATGGTCATCTG